TTAGTAGACCATGCACGAAACCCGGTATAGTGTGAGTCAAGCTCTACGTGCCGATGACGATTCATTACTTATTACCCATTCGAATTTTTTTCACCTTCAGATCTAAACACAGTTTAGCGTGACCATGTAGAGGCTTAACCGTGACTGACTTTTCTTGAACAGCCTCCATTTATTGCACTTACTGTTACTTAACCTGTTTAATTTGGAGTTTAAAAGTCTTTTGGAGGATGAATTCCTCTCCAAGTCGACCAAAAGCATCGTGAACTAATGGAGCCTGTTAATTAAGTTGGCGTCTGTATTGACGTGATTCCGAAAATCTCTTTTAAAATGTAAAAATCCTTGCAATCCTATACAATTTTGGACTATGTGGCTGTACTACCTTATACAGCCTTATATACCTAATACATTTTCGTCGTTGTTCCGCGGTCCTTTCTTGAGATATGTGTTATTACACAGAAGTCAGTAGATATTTTATATCAAATATTTTTTTTATCAAGTGTTTGATCATAATGGCAATTTCTAAACCTCCTGTTCTATGGTTGACAAGCGTTTTGCTGTCCAAGTTAATCAATTCTTGCCTTCAAGTAAACAGGTCAATTTGATCCCCGTCTACAACTGCGAGCTTTCATGTTTATCGCGGCGTTTTGACAAACGAATATTGCCTAGCTCTTGGTTACATAGTTTCTATTGCTGCGGTCACAAACCTGCAGTGCGTTTGCGTTACTATTTGTGTCGGCGCCTGCTGCACTTTCGTAATGTAAAATTAATAAGTTCAGCACGTGGAAAAAATCAATTCAAAATCACGCTGAAGTTCATTTACTGCTGAGGTAGTCGTATCTCTGCCTGCAGTCGTGAGCGCAAGTTGTCATTGTTTACTAAAGGCATTTTGGATGTTACTGAACGCCGTCTTACCAGTCGACGCTTGATTGCGGTCCTCATGACTCGTTTATTTTCATAGTAAAATTATTTTGAAATCACATCACAGAATCCTAAGCTTATTGGACGTAATATTTGAAACAGAAACGCATGAGATCTTAAAATATTATCTGCATTTTCCTTGTAATGTTACTTCCGGCCTTTCTAGGAACAGTTGCAGATAAAGTTTCTTAAGCGTTTTTATGCCTAAGTTGATCACCACCCTTTTCTCTTGGCACTTCCTACTTACGGCTGAAAGCGAACAACCGAAATTTGTCTGCTTGCATGCTCATTCTTTTTGACGGGAACAGTTTTTCATGAAAATGCCATGGAAGGTTAAACTTTATTGGCACAAATAATCTCTGATGTAATGTTTACGTACCAATCTTCTGGTGGTGGGGAATCCTCTGGGTAACGAGAAATTTCTGGCCTGGGTGTACCACGTTATAATTTGCCAATGAAAAATTTCTGTTTCCTGTATATTGAGACCTTACAGACTTTGAAGTGGACCCCTGTTTGCTATTCTGGGGCTCCCTATGGATTGACACGGAAGTCCGTGTTGATCAGGCCAACTGTTGATGCGTCTTAGAAACCAACCATACCTTTTGTGAATCAGATTTGTAGCTGGCTGCAATCGAATGCACTGTTTTCAGCCATTCTACCGGCGGAATAGAAGTAGATTTCGTCTTAAGCCACGGAAGCAGTCATGTGTGCAGGTTTGTAGGTTGAAGAAAAGTCACAAGAGTACGTGTCAAGCTAGTGTCCAGGGCTACAGGAGAGAGTGGGTTGTGCTTCATAGGGTGAACTTCCCACCACGGCGATTGGTTACCTAACTCACTAAAACAACTGTGACCATTAGCGCTTACTCACACATAGATAATGCAGTTTCTTCCATCAGCTGACCACAATATAATCATCAGCTAGGGGTTGAATACGCTTTTCCACTTCCCATTCATATTCGAACGGTAAGTTTTCTCTGCAAACCTTAGGAATTTTTGAAGCATAAAACAAATTTTGCGCCATGTGTTCCGTTTTCCTGACACCAGGGAGAGGACTTGTACCATCTTAATACGTTGCGCGCTAGCTGAAAAGGGGCTTATTTTTATGTTTTGCTTTACATCAACTAAAATCCCACTCTTTTAATTACAACTTAGTGCTTTCCACTAAGTGTTAATGTCCTAGGTACTTAGCTTCAAGTCCTACCCTTGATAATTTCCGAAATCTTTAGCTTTATGCTTCACTTTTTTACATACAGATGGACATCAGCGAGGATATAAATTCCGAGTTGGATGCCATTATTACCGAAAAGGTGCCCCTAGAAGCGGTGGCTCGGTAAGTTGAAATACCGGCGGCATTTATCAATGCTTCACCAAGGTTTGGTCGACTCCTGAAGACTTTCGAGGGCAAGCCCGAGGAGTTCATACTGCATGCCATCTCAAAGATCTCCAATGCCAGTAAGTTTTCTTTTGTTGTGCCGCCCTCCATTACATAGAACCTTTCAGTCTCTCAGGATGCTGTCACAGTCATCTCAGCCCGTCAAATTTGTGGCGAACTCATCACCTACATAGACAAATCCCCATCCGATCAAATGGCGATTTCCGCATTTCAGATCCTCCTTTCTCGAATGCAGTCACGAGTGATTGCCTTTGAAGCACAGGCAAGCTTTTGATCTGATCTTGATTACTTTTTTGTAGCTCACCGAGCTTCGTGATTTGCTGGCGAAACGGCTATCAAACAGCGGCGATCTTCGCGAGGCTGCCGTAGTCCTTTCTGGCATTCCCCTAGAGAGTGGCCAACGGTAACTTGTGTAGACTTTTGTTGGTCATTATTTTTATTTATTCAAAAAAATAGGTCTTACTCTGTACTGTACAAACTTGACGTCTACCTCCGTATTGTGGAATGCTACTTGACCCTGGGCTGCCCTACACAGGCGGAACTGTACATCAACCGCGCGTCTCTTCTACAGTCCGAGTGTCAGGATCAGCACATGATAATGCGTTTCAAGGTTCGTTTAATTCCTCTTTTAGGTCTTTTGCATGCTTTTCTTTATCTTGTTTTGAGGTGTTAAGGCTGCAAACAACTTAGTATTCAATAGAGGGGAATATCCGAGTTCCAGGAAGCAGTTCAGAAGAAGAAGAAG